AGAGTAGCGCTTGTTGTTTGTCGTTTCTCCGATCACAAATGCAGACATGGTTTTATGTTTACGCGGCGTGATGCAACGCAACTAGTAAAAAGACCGTATAAGGGGCCGTTCACATATCGCGTATTTTGCGTGCTCAAGATCGTTATTTCAAATGTAGACGCGCGGCAGGCGCGCTCATAATGGAAGCGACGCGCTAATTTTTTCCAGGCGCGTCCACGCCGCATCGAGATAAAAACGTTTTAACTTTTCAGAATGCCGCAAGCGCACCGCGGGTCATGTGACAAGAACCAACCAATCAGCTTCATCCTTTCCCGTAACAACATTGAAAGCTCAGCCACACCAAATACACAAAATAATGTTCTTTTTTAGCAACGTCATATGACCCCTTTAAAAACGATTGTGAGCACACAATGCAGGCAGGACAAAATGTCTTATAAAAGCTATTCTTAACTGAACTTCATTTTCCAACAGTTGAAGACATCTGTTTTGTCCAAAATCTTTAGGATAAGGATGTCTTTTTTTAGTTATTTATGCTACTAGTTTTTGCTGTGGTATTGAAGTAGTAAATTGTTCTTTAAATAATAAGTGTTACTTAAATAATAACGAACCATATTTTTTTTGCTCATCTGAAAAATGGATCGATCTGTGACTCAAAATGTGATATGATAATGTAATATAATCCGAACCATGAGATTTGTGATCCGTTGCACCCCTACTCTCTTGACTTGTTATTTGAAGAAAAAATACAATATCTTTTATTCGGGCTAATTTAATTAATTTTTCCAAAATCTGAAGAATGCCTGTCCGAAGGGCTGCCAGGGATTTTTAAATTTTGCAAGCCCTGCAAAGCAAATTCTTGCATAACTAGGAAAATATATTTTCTACATAGATATTTCCGCTATTTTTCCATGCATTTTATTGATTTCTCTGACTTTTCGACACCTGGAAATCGTGTGATTTTTTTTTTCCTCTTCATTTCTTAGGTTTTCCATTGACAGTGGGAACCCTTTGGTGGGGATGCCTTAAAATGTAAGGGTTTGTGGACCACACTTTCATAAGGATCACAATCACTGTGTAAACCGACTCTTTGAATGTGGAAATTGTGATTGTGATCTCCATTGTCCTTCAACAAATGGAAAATAAGGCCCAACAAATAAATTCTACAAGACATTTTGTAGTTGACATGAATCAATGAATATCTTCACAGACATCTGAAACCAACACATGGCTGAGTGTCACTGTCAGCATATGTGTCAGGTTTCTCAGTATGAGATGAGACATAAGCGAGAAACACACTGCCATGAGTATCACTCAGCTCTTCTGCGCTTTGTGGGGAAAAGGGGGTTTTCAGGCTTAAATTTTTCCCCTCTTTTTATTACAGTAACTACATTTTTTTTCCCTCTATATACAGACCTTTCACTGGCCCGTCACCCGGTCCCATATGTGCTGCTGTCCCATTCTTCATGTCTTGTTGATGGCCGTCACTGATGGTCATGTTGGCTACACCAGATGCTATGTTGTTCCCAGGAGAGTGCTGAGAGTCACCCACCTGTCCAGAATTCATGTGGTCCTGATGGTCCATTTTGAGATGATTTCAGTCTGTAGAGTTCAAACAGAAAACAGTCATCAGGGGTTAATGTGGCAATGTGACAAATAAGTGCTGCATTGCCTTTTAGCCACAAGATGTCTCCTCCCTCACATCCAATTAATATTATTAGTAGCATTATCAGAGTGATGTACATACGCACAGACATATTTAGTTGTTTGTATGTTAGTTAAAAATTTTAAGATTTTAGTTATTTAGTTAGTTGAGATTAAAAAAGGTGATCTAGCTCAGGCAGGAGCAACTATCACAACTTGATCCAGTGTATGATACAAAGACTTACATAGCGTTATGAGTTAGCTGGTTGGTTGGTTTGTAAGCTTTATTTAACTTTGATAAAAATATGATGTTAGTTAGTTAGCTTACTTTGTTAGCTGAGATTAAAAGAGTGACCTGGCAAGAGCAAATAACACAGTAACAAGAAAAGTCTTAAAAGTTTTAAAAGAGATTCTAATATAGGAGATTTTAGAAATAAACTAAAACATTAATTATTATAGCTAGGGACAAAGCAAGACACAAAAATGGCATTCAAATACCATAGAGACAAAATAGCTGCACTAAAGGTCATTTTCAAGTGCCATAATTTCATCCCATGGAGGAAGTTTAGTCAGATATATCTTTTCCTGTAAATTGTTTCTTGGGTGTTAAAACGTCTTCTAAAAAGAAGAACAGCTAGATGCATAATATCATTTGACCAAAGTCTGTAATGACAACTGTTTATAGAGAGACAAGATGGGCAAATACAAGCAAATGTTAGACCATAAATCAACTGATAAATAAACCCAATGTGAGCGGTGAGCATTCAGTCTAAGCATTCAGCAATTCTTCTGTTCTGCTCAGTTTGGTCTTTATTTGTAAAAATGTGTTTCCTTTATGGAAAATAAGTTATTTTATGTGGTAAAACTAGAATTAAAACAAGCTTAAATCATGCCCAGAGAAAGCCGTATCCTGTTCTTTTACTTATGGTCGCTGATGTGCTGTGTGTGTCTGAGTGTGTGCTTCCTGATACAAGTAAGAATGTGGTTTTCCTTTTAGCAGTTCTGCTTTATACTTTGTACAATGTTAAGCCAAATTTATGTAGTCCCAGCAGAGCTATTAGTAAATCCACGCTGGAGACAGTAAAGTGAACGCTCTCATCCATCTCCTTCACACAGGATGCCCATAAACATGAATTCCATTTGTGTCGAAATGGATTAGATGGCTCACACGCAACATTGTCACATCCCATAATTCCTTTTTGTCGATGACACACGTGTACGTAATCGGACACCCAAATGTTTCACCTGCGCTCTGAGACCCACACAACAAGGTCATCTGGATGTGAGAGTCATAATGAAAACCAAGTTGTTTTAGGCAAGAAGTGCTGTGGAGCTGAAAATAGTGCCAAAGCTGCAGGGGTGGGTTTACATTTGTCAATTACATCATCCTCAAAGTCAGCAGTGACCAGCAGGGTAGAACAACACCAGAAGCCAAAATGGCCTTTAAAAGGCATAGTTCATCCAAAAATGAAAATTCGGTCTTCATTTCTAACCCGTATGACTTGGACCAATTTATGGTTCTTTTGTAGCTTTGAAGCTTCAGTCACCATTTATTTTAATTGCAAAGAATATGGAAAACAGTCATTACATTTTCCACTTTCATGTTCCACAAAGTCATATGGGTTTGGAACGACATATTTTGGGTGAACTATTCCCTTATGCTTTGTATTTGAAGGTGTTTTGTCCCCAGTACCATGATTGCACAAGTGCGCTGAGGATTGGGAAGCATCGTTCTCCAAATTCTCCAGGGAGAATCTGTCACCTTCTTAATAAACTCTCACAAGCCGGGTTTCCCTGAGGCAGCAGTGGTGCAAATTCAAGCCTGACTCCCGCAGGATCCTTATGCATTATTCAGAGCGAGCTGTGATATCAGTAAACAGAGCTTAGAAACCATCTGCAACCACAGTCAGTCCAGAACTAGATAACCAGCCACTACATCATTAGGGACTGATTTATTTACCAAAAATGTTTGTCGGAAAACACAAACTGGGGAGGAACATCTAAAATGCTCAAAAACTGGAAAAAAAAAAAAAAAAACAGAGGATAGCCTTGCAGCTGGTCCTCAGCAGATGGTGCGTTTAGGATGATGGTCCTCAGCATGGTATACTGGAGTCCCCATCAGACCATAATCCATCCCTTCCAACAACCCGTCACTCACATGATCGCAGAAATTAGCAAAAGAGAATTATCCAGTCAATTCCAGATGTACAAAATCAAGTCCAAGCCTATATTCTCATTCAAGAAGCCATTTCACTCAGATATGTCACAATAGGGGAAAAAGGTTGATTGCAACTTTCTTTTTAAGCTGACTTTATAGGTTCAATGGCGTCAGATTACATTAATATCCCAAATACCATTGGTTCTCACATGGTTCCCCATGATTTTCTTTTTCTATTCCTCACACGAAGCTGAAATATAGCGCACATGAGACCATATCAATTATTTTTATGCTACTTTTAGGTACAGACCCAGGTTACTGTTTAATTTTTTGTAGAAAAAGCGGTGTGAACATGTTTTAATTATTTGTGTGTGTGTGTGTGTGTGTGTTCCACAGAAGAAATTTTACAAGTTTGGAATGACAAGTTGTAAAACATTACAAAAATGTATTTTATATTGAACTTTTCTTTTAACCATCTCAAACAGTTAAGTCAGTCAATCAGCTTCACTTGCTGGTTTACCAGGTTTTGCTGTCAAAAAACATAGCCATGCTGGTTCACCAGCTAGAATGTCAACAAATGGGCACTAACTCGCACAAACTAGCCTGAGGAAGCACATGCTGGTCTGGACAGAAGAGAAAATGTGTTTGGCACGTGATTCAATGTTTGCTAGAAGGCTCTGAATGCATGGTCATGAAAAGCATGACAACTTCCATCAATTGAACACTTGATCTTGTCCATAGGGAATCGACTGGATTGTGGAAAGCAGACACCAGATGGGTCTCAAGAATAAGAGGAATTGATGACATCAACCAGTTTGTAGGCAAAGCAAGGTATTACATCCTGATAAAAGACTGCAAAGACAAACATTTTCTTTCTGTGCAATCACATGCACAATGAATAACCAGGAGTATGTAACAGTACAATTTGAGATTTCATGTTTTTATTTCTAGAAGCATTTTTACATTGAGTAGGCCTGAATTTCCTGCCTAAGTTTTATGTTCATGCAGTTTGGTCTCCTCTGGCTGGAATTCAGATTTACAACAATCGCTGTTCAAAGTGCTCAGCATGCTGGTGCACTTGACCTGAATGATTGTGATCCCTCCTGGGCAGTGCAGTGAGAATGTCAGTGCCCCTTTAAAATGCCTAAGCCTTTCTTCCTGACGATGGATGTCTCTCGCGCTCTGTCTTTTTTTCGTGGTTAAGAGCTTGGCACGGAGTAGAAAGGGCAATGCTGGATTTATGAGGGATAGGCCTTGGAATGCGGAGGGCTCTTGAAAGACAACGCAGGGCGACATGTGGCCGATATAGCTAATGGGTGGCCCTGACTGAAGTGGGCAGGGGTGAAACGGAGAATTGTAATGTGAGTTGGCCTGCAGCCAGGGACGGGCAACTCTCACCTCATCAATATTCAGGACACATTACTGCAGAAAGCACGAGAGAATGAGAGAGCAAAAAAGAGGGTGAAAGGGAAATGGAGACTGAGAGAAAGAGGAAGAAGGGGGGCAGAAAAGGAAAGAGGTGTGTAGTACACTAATGCAACAGAACAGCTCAACAATAAGGATGACACACTGGTTCGGAGCTTGGGGCCCTTTGACAGAAATGTCACTTTCTTTATTTGGACTGTACTACACTGTTGAACATTGTTTGCATGCCTTGCAAACATAACTATTTGGTTTACAGTGATATATTTAGCATCACCAAGAATCTAGGTGATTTGCAAAAAAAAAAAGTCACGTCTCAGATCAAGTGCACAAGTTTTGGACATTTTGGATTTTTTTTGTCAAATCCAGAAACTTTAATGATACTTTTTTTGAATAATTAAATCATGAAATCATGGGCTAATTTTCATTTTTGGGTGAACTAACCCTTTAACACTAGTTTATCTGATTTTCAAAATAATTGTTAGGTGTTAGTTAGCCTACTTGAAAATATCAGTAAGAATGGGTTGAAAATTATAAGTCAATCAGAAATGTTTTGCATCATCATCATTTTCCAGAAAATGTGTTTATGAAGTCAAGGAGATAATATTATACATTAACTGTAAAATGTCCTACAATCATTATATAACATTTTTAAACATTAAAATTAAAATATATTATTATTAGTTTATTTTTGTTAGTATAAAAAAAGAATGAAAAATGCCTAATGAAAATGTAGTTATATTTTATGACACATTTTATACACATTGCTAAATAAAATGCATAATTGGTGATGCTAGTGAAAATTTAGGCAGTGAAGTAATTACTGAATTACTGGCCCAGACTAGCCAGTAAATAACAAGCCGAAAATAAGCCTCATCGCTGAGCCCTGCTTGCAACAATACAGTAAACAGTGAGTAAAGGAGAACGAGTGATGAGGAAGACAAAACAGAGAGAGACAGAGAGGGAATGTGAGAGGGTTTCTGAGCTGAAAGGACAAGAGCGTGTAGGCGGAAAGGAGAGTGAAACAACAAAGACAAAGCACGCAGGAGGAAAGAATTCAGCGAGCGAGAAAAAGAAAGGGAGGAGGACAGAAAAAGAGAGAACTTTGGGAATGAAAGGATAAAGGGACTTCAGGCGAGAGAAAAGAAAGAGTGACAGACACGCAGACAGGGCCTGCAACTGTATGATACAGCAGATTTCTAGAGGGACTTTCACTGATTTTGCTGCAACAGTGCAATAGGCTGCCATCACATCTAAAGGACTGGGGCATCGTGGGTATTTTCATTGCACTCAGCCCTGTCTTCTCTCATCAAATCACATGTTATTTTGCCTGAGCACACTGAGCTAAATGATCCTGCAGCACGGCAGATCTGGAAGG